AAAGTTCATATAAATAATTCCCAATTCCTAGCAAGTAGAAAATTAAGGATTTGTGTTTTTTTTTTTACGTTTTTTGTCGAATAGAATGCGATAGCAAAAAAAATATTAGATTTGAGAAACTAAACATTGCTCCATAATAAACTAGACAAAATTTAGTATTTAATAAACTGTAAAAGAAATGAGAGTTTGTCATTGCTAAAACTATTTAAAGTGACTATTAAAGTTAAGTCTATTGAGCGGACAAACACAGCTAAAAAAAGTCATAAATTATTGGTGATTTTATTTTTTATCACCCTTCAACTGTACAGCATTTACCCCACATTTAGAAAAACTTTCTCGTTTAATAAACTTTAAGTCCATGTTAATTGAGTTGAGGTTTATTAGGAAACATTTTGCGATTCACTTCAAGTTGTGTCAAGAAATTATGTGATTTTCTATCCAGTCACATAACCGTACCCGTGTTTTCTAAAAAATTACTACAGTTAAATGTTCCAAAGCTTTTACTTATTATTTTTCCTTGTTATGTAATGTATTGTAATAAACATAATTGCCTAAATTTTATGTTTAAAAATAAAAAATTAAGTGGATATCTTAATGTTTTAATATATTAATAGAAACGTTTATGCATATCTTGATGACTACAATCAATCTCTTAAATATTTCCCTCTGCTTACGAGACACTCTGTATTGTTAGTTGCCTTTTATAATTATAAGGGTGAAAAATATATTAGTCAGGATATGCAACCATTGATCTTGCTTATCAAATTTGCCGACGTTTCGACACAATCATGTGGGTCATTACCAGGAATATTTCCAAGCGTTGTTGGTATTAGTTCTGTTTATTGTGTTTGAGGGATTTATCATGTTTAGTGTTGCCCAAATGCGAGACCGGAACGAATCTTAGTCTTGCAAACTCAGTCTTCGTCATGTCTTGGTCTTGCAGTTACTTAATAGATTATTATTATACACATATCACTGTAATTTTTTATATAGGAGAAACCTATCTAAGCCCGACTGAAAAATTAGAGGAGTTAAATGCAAAAGTATATTGGTTATACCAATTATTAACATATAGTAACTAAGATTGTCAAATATTAGTAAGTATTTTGCCTTAATTTTTATTTAAAAAATTGATTTTTTTACCAGTCTTGGTCTTGGTCTTGCAACACTTAAGCAACCTTGGTCTTGGTATTGCAAGTCTTAGTCATGTTAAACAAAAACCGCTTATTATATACAATACAAACCAGGTTTGAAAGAAAAGCCAACGATACTTAAATTATAACTTCTACAAGACTTCAGACAGCCGTAATAAAAACGAATATGAAAATCTGTATTTACTGAATAATTTGTATTTATTGAATAATTTGTATTTATTACTTTCTAGAAGCATTTCTGTAAAAATAACAGATAGTACAATTATTTGGAATGGGGAAGTTAAAACATAAAAACCTTTTTTATTGTTTTCTTGAAAAGTATTTAGGTTGCTTAAACGTGACGATTGTTCGTTAATATCGTTTACAAATTAATGCTTTACCTTAGACATTTCATTTAATATATTTCTTTACGTTATATTTATGAGCCGCACTCTATAAAAAAAAAAATTTTAGTAGTCATTTAATAACTTAAGTTAGAAAAAGGAGTTATAAAAAAAAATATAAATTTGAAATTAAAAAAATCATTACTAACTACTTAAAAATAGTATTTATGGAGCACACTTAACATTTAAGCCTCTACATTTCTTAAATACATAAAAAAACAAATGGTTGTCTATACCAGTTCTAACTATCAAGGAAATTTGTTTTTTCTGGTGAAGATTGCGCCAAGCGATATATACACGTTATTAATTTTTAAATATAAGATAATAAGAATTCGGTATGTCTATATTGGGACATTCGATTGACGTCGTAACACCTCTAGCATATACCGTTCTTTCTTTAAATACATAATATTAGTTTTGTACAACTTTTTCTTAATGAGCATGTCTGTACACGAACATCAAGACCTCTTTGTGAGACGTAATGGTTTGCACTCAGGGTACCCCAAAATGTGTTTTTCCGTCAAAAAATATTATTAGAATTTTTTTTCGATCACAATACTTTGTCTTGCTTTATTTAGAATATAAGTAAGAGAAAAAAAACTTGGATCAATGTTTTCAAGATTTCAATTTTATAATAAAATAATTTTACAGTGTGAATATATTTAAAATACCATTTAAAAAGCGAAACAACATATTAATTGTTCATAATGACAGTGTTTTTTTTTTGTCATTAATTATATCACAAAAGATGACAGAGAGGTCACGAAACCAATTTAACCATTAGCTGACAATCTTTAGTAGTAGAATATGGATAACGACTAAATGGACCACTAAGCCCTCATTAATGACCCTCCACGAATCCCGATTTTTGTTTTATGTTACTGGAGGAGAACCCATTTTAGACACGAAATGTAAATAAGGACTCCAAAACGATGTAGCTCTATGTCCGCCCATTTCGGGAATGTTCATAAAGATGAAATTTAATAACATCTCCGTCCGCGGTTCTGTGTTTTCTTTTGCATCATTATAAGTTTGGTGTCTTCCCCATTTAGGAAATAAGACCGAGGCGCGAACATCCCACGCCGATGAAATATGATGGAACAGGTTTGAGTTATGCGGATCAGCGTGTGTGCGTGTTTTGAAGGATATTTAATCCTTCTGACATACACATGTGTTATTATATTAAATTTAGTTTGAATTGTATATGTGTTACTGCTCAATTATAAGTTTTATTGTCGTTGAAAATTTGTTGTTAAAACAATTGGTCAGAGTTACAAGGTATGTAATTAGTAAGGTATGTATGTTACAAGATATAGTATAATTTTATTATATTATGAATACATATCAGCTAGCGATTGCTTACATATTTATCACAATAAAGGTATTCAGGTAACCTATAATAAATGCTCGATGTGTTATTTTTAGCGTAACCCAAAAGCGAGACCATGACGAGTTTTGATCTTGCGCACTCTTGGTCTTGGTCTTGTGGAAGTGTCTCGCAACAGTCTTGCAGTTACCTATTAGCCTATTACTATAGAGACATCACAGTAATTAATTAGATGAGTTAAATGCAAAAGTATATTGGTTATATCGATTCTTTACAAACAGGAACTAAAATTGTCAAGTATTAGTAACTATTTTACCTTAATTTTTATCCACAAAAACGATTTTTTTTTTTTTAACCAGTAAAATGCAAGACCAAGACCGATTTTGGGTAACACTAGTTAATTTGCTAAACATTTGAATAGTCGAGCTGCCCTATGTGTTATTAGTAGTGACCCAAAATCGGTCTTGGTCTTGCACTTTGGAAGACTCAGACCAAGGCCGCCTAACTGTTGCAAGACCAAGACCAGGACTGGTAAAAAAAAAAACGATTTTTTAAATAAAAATTAAGGCAAAATAGTTACTAATACTTGACAATCTTAGTTACTATATGTTAATAATTGTTATAACCAATATACTTTTGCATTTAACTCCTCTAATTTTTCATTCGGGCTTAGTTAGGTTACTCCTATCTAAAAAATTACAGTAATATCTCTATAGTAATAACCTAATAAGTAACTGCAAGACTGTTGCGAGACTCTTGCGCAAGACCAAGACCGAGTTTGCAAGACCAAGACTCGTCTCGCAGCTACAGTGAGTTGAAACCAAACCTCCGCTAGTGACAACTTGGGCTTCACTTGTTGATTTTAATTTTTAAAAACTGTTTTTATTTTATTTGAACTCTGCTTAATACATGAAGTATGACAACCATACATTTGAAAAATAATTCACTTCAAATAAATAGATTTTCCCTAATTATGTAAACAGGTTATTAATCTGTTTTGTCCAACTTTTTTGGCGAATTTCTTTCGCACCTTTTCTTACATTACGTACCACTTAATAAAAAAGTGGCAAATAGAAAATCTTTCATAATATATGTAGCACATGTGCATAGCGTGTTAAGTGCAATTCAGTGAATTTTATGGGTATCACTTGAAAACCAATTTTTCTCTCTTTTTATGTATACAATGGGCTATGTTATGTGGTTATTACAGAAATGAATATTCCTTTGTAAATCATAGGATGAAACTCAACAATTGAACTTGCAGGTATGAAAATTCATAATTATTAATCATATTTTTACGAAAATATAATTTTTGAACTTAACACACTATTCACAGGTGTCACAGAAGTGGTATATATTGTACTTCCGGGAATGGCCAGATTCTCCACTCAAGACATGAGTGTATGTGGCTGTGGCGCCCAATCTCCACTCGCTTCAGTACCAGTGACTGAGAAGATGGGGTCATTCTTTTTCTTTGGTGCAATGAAAACCCTGATTCGGAGTTCTTTCGCCTGATTGTAAAAAGTGTACATAGATATGTCTAAGACTTATCTTTAAGTTTATTTTATTTGTATTTATTACATATACTTTTTGATTATTATGTAATTGTTAATTTGATTTATTTATATTTTATGTTAATATGGTGTTGGTGTAGTTCTTGTTCACTATAACCATTGTCCCATATTGTGACAGAATGTCATAATACTCAATAAAATATATTTTTTTTAAATTAATTAAAAAAAATAATGTAAATTAAGCTTTACTATAAAATTAACTTTTTTTTTTTTAATTTCACATTTACAGTAGATGATCACAAAACTTTTCCTTTTCTTTACTAGTTTTAATTTTAAAACTGGAAGCCAAACTGCTGTCGAGTGCAACTCTGGTCTAGTGAAGTGCCAAGTGTTTACTAAATGATTAAACCCGTCGTCTGCCTCGGTACATGTGGTCTCATCGCCATGAATTATTCCAGGAATGACGCATTGCTTCACCGAAAGCTGCTAAAGAGCCATTACAGCTAGCTAATAAACACCCTAATGCGATTAAGGTGAAAAAGTGCATTGTTGGAGAGTGGCGGTTAGGCCCTACAAGATGTAATTAACAGATAAATAATAGAGAGGAGACGAGGACGGGCAGATGTGTGGGTGTGGCGACGCCATTGTCTATTGTCGCAGCCTGTCTCCATGGCAACAACCCCTCTCAACCCTTCATTGTCCCCTCCACCCGCCCGCCGATCACTACCCTCCACTTGTCGGTAATTGGATAGATATTCTATTGTACACAGGTCCTAATGCAAGTTAGGAACGTGCCTTGTGTACGAACCTATACACAATTGTGGTAATGATATGTCTCCGGCATACGTTACGGTACAATAGTCCATCGGTTCTCCTTCACAAGAGGTTATAATTTAATGCTCCATCAATTCGGATCATTTGAACTAATGTAAATTTTAAGAATATATCTACTTCTACTAAACTGATATGTTCATGGGCGTCAGTCTTAATTATTAGGGTGGACGAGGGCCATAATATGCAGGTAAACTTCTCTTAGCGAACACTTCTCCATAACCGACAATTTTATAATCCCCATCAGATTTTAAACAATTTCATAGTAATAAGGTCTTCCGAATATCGGAGGATCTCTATAACGGACGCGGACCGGATTTTTGTTTTCTTGTAAGTTATAGGTTACTCCAGGTCTAGAAAATCGATTACATTATTTCACTTTTTAAATTTTACAATACATTTGTCTATAAAATCTGTTATTGGAACAAGTGTATTTGAAATTGTTTATACCACTTCAATTATTCAAATTAATCAATTCAAAATTTTTCATGGTGCAATTTACTACCTCTTTCTGAGTAACCCTAGTTTAACATTTCCTAATACTCAATTACTAGTGTTGTCAAAAATCGGTCTTGGCACTTTGCAAGACAAAGAGCAAGGCCGCCTAACTGTTGCAAGACCAAGACCAGGACTGGTAAACAAAAACGATGTTTTAAATAAAAATTAAGGCAAATAGTTACTGATACTTAACAATCTTAGTTACTATATGTTAATAATTGGTATAACCAATATACTTTTCCATTTAACTCCTCTAATTTTTCATTTGGGCTTATTTAGGTTTCACTCATCTAAAAAATTACAGTGATATCTCAATAGTTGTAACCTAATAAGTAACTGCAAGACCGTTGCGAAGATCTTCCGTAAGACCAAGACTGAGTTTGCAAGACCAAGACTCCTCTCAGTCTCGCATTTGGGCAACATTATCAATTACTAACATATGCATTTCCAATTCTGGAAGTTATACTCTCAAATTAAGTTTTAAAATTTAGAAATCAGATAAATCAATTTATGATCTTTTTGGCAAGAACGTTTGTTTAACTCATTTATAGAGCTATAAGAATCGGAGTTCTTAAATAGGAAAAACTCTCTACCTCATGAAATGAGTTTTTTTTTTTTTTTTTTTTTTTTTTTTTGTGGGGCTAGATAAAGAGATTATAACATAATTTTCTTGTTTCTCAAAGCTTGCGAATATACTTTGTACTCAGACTAAGATAAAAAAAGGAATTTATGTTTATTATTATAGGTGTGCCAAATTTCTTCTTCGTCCTTATTCCTTATCCTTTTAGGCGATTTACAACCGATGGACCAAACATCCAAAGACCTCAGAGTAGCTATCAGCCTCTATTACGGTTGGTATCCTTTCGACACCCGCCGCTTCTTAAGTATTATTCATGTAAACGTTGTTTCCTTTAACGAGCCTTCCTTATCTAATCGCGGAGGGCCTGTGCCTTCTTCGAATCCACTTTTGAGGAAGGACGGAGGCAGCCTGTGAAATGTATTCAGACCACTATCACCGACGAGTAAGTAGTATGTAGTCGCTTAGAATTGTTTTAGAGTCCTCAGAAAGAAAGGGAGATTATATAAGCTAAGGTTTTCATAGTTTGTTTTTTATTTCGTGTTATTGAAAATTTCTTTATTTAATGTACCCATTTCTTAGACACTTGGGAATTAATATACGATTGGGGAATTGATATATTTAATTATTATTAAATATATTAGTTTAAACTTTATTCATCTTCGTCATATTTTATTTATTTTCTTATAGTTATGGTGTTAATTTATTTTTTAAAAACATGAATTTTTGAGAATGAGGTGATTAAAATTTTATGAATATAATTTATTATATTACTAAATTTTATAATTACTAATCGTCATTAGAAGTTATTTTCTAGCAGTTGAATAACTATTGATGTCAATTTCTTAAAAAATCTCGTTTTGGCAGAGTGACTTTAACGGTGGATCAAAACAGTAACAAGACATTGTTATTTATTTCAACTAATAATGCAATCTATATTTTACAGACAATATTTTGTATTTCTTTTATTATTATTATATTTATAGTTTTATTTTTGAAATTCAAACGTATATTTTTTTTTTCATCTTATACTTTTATTTTTATTTTTGTTGATTATAATATGAATTTGTTTTCATATTATTTACGTTTTCTACCTTATTTAAATATTTAATTGTTTAAAGTAATTAACTTTTTTCAAATGATGCCAGTTTTTAAGCCAGAAATATTAGATGATTATTATTATATTGCCGTTTATTATTTTTATTTATTGCATGGTATGAATGAGCTACTCTATATCACTATTACTATTTTTCTTGAAAGTGACAGATTGTAATATCACAATAAAGAGGTTAAAAAAAAAAATAATGAAATCAAATATTATTTCTTTGTTCATCCTGTATGAAGAGTGCAATTAAATAAAATAAATATTTAAATCCGTTTGAATATGTAATTTCTTTGGAGCTAGAAAAAAAAAATTCTTGTTTAACTTCTTCTGTTACTTAAATGTATGAAATTTATAATAAGTTTAATACAGTTTAGTGTGGTTAAACTAAAGCTGTTACTATACTAAAAATTTAAAAATGTCTAGATGTATAGTTACATATTAAAGGGAAAAAGCAGATTATTAAATTGATAATGAAAAATTCGAATGAAATACTTAAATAAAAAAGAATGCAACATTAATTATTATTTCTGGTTTAGAATGCCATCCGTCGTAAACCAATGACTGCCTGTCCTACAGTTTCCTTTAACAATACTCCACTTATCCCTGTTGAGCAAATTAGATACCTAGGTCTCCACCTGGACAAGCGACTAACTTGGAATCCTCATACTAGAATGAAACGACAAGAAACCGCTCGACGTTTCCGATTACTTCAGCACTTACTAGGCAAACGCTCTAAACTTCCCATTAATTACAAAAGACTCATATATCTGACTATAATAAGACCTATTTGGACTTACGGAGTTGAGCTATGGGGAGCTATGGGGCTCCACTAAACCATCTAATTCCTCTCGCATCCAATCCTTACAATCCAAAATCCTTCGTAAAATCCTCAATGCTCCTTACTTTGTCACTAATAAAATTATCCATAAAGATCTTAATGTTCCTTATGTTTCAGATCTGGCCCAATCCAGATACCTATCCTTCCAAAATAAACTTTCTAACCTTGCTTCCTCTTCAATTCCTGATAACCCTCCGAGGCGTCTGAAAAGAAGATGGCCCCGTGATCTCCTAATGTAGTCATCTCATTAGAGTGCTACCATTGGGTAGTTACTCAGCAAGTGTATTCATGTCATTATATCTATTATGTCCAAATTTACTCGATGTATTTATGTAATACAGTTGTAAATGTCATTAAGAAATAAAAAAAAAAAAAAAAGAATGCCATCACCATTATTACACAAAGTTTTTAATTTCAGTTGTGATTCTAGGGTTAGAAAAAACTCAAGAATATAATATAATAATACAAAAACATAATGATATAAGAAAATGTTTGATAAATTACAGTTAGATTGTAAACAGAAGAATCCAATCAACAGTGAAACACTCCAATTGAGTTCATTTTTTACCGTACATCCGCTTGAGTTGCAAACCGAGAACAAAAGAGATAAGCTGTGCTCTCGAAAAGCTAATAATTACTCGAGGGACTAATTATTCTGGGGACTCTCGCCCCTCCCCCTCTCTCGAAAAACCATTTAAAAAACTCAAGAGGAAAAGACTAGTTAGATTAAAGGGGAGAGGGGACCGTTATGTCGTCGCAAACTGAACACCTTTGAACGAATCCGTCGCAGGACATTGGGCAGGATAATTTAACTTGGGACCTCTGGCTTCTTTTGTCTCAGATTAAACAGAACCCTACTTCCTGCCTTCGGTTCATTGTCACCCATGGAGGAAAAGCTAATTGAAAGCAGGAAAGCTTTCTCGGGTAAAAAATATTTTTTTCTTGTTTTTTTTTTTTTTAAATACGATGACTTGTCCAAGACGATTTCTCAGGAAATGGAAGGTCATATTATTGCCAGCGGTACTACATCATATACTACTCCTTACATAAATATTAAATTTGATAAATTTGTGCCTTTCGTGTTTCTTTAGTTACTTTGTTTAAAATAAACTTATAGAAATAGAAAATAACTTTATTCTGGGACAAAGTCCCTTTAGAATAACAAAATAGAACATAATTAAAATACTACATCTGGCTAAAATAAAACAATAATAAAAAAGAGAAAGTAAAGAAAATATTAGTTAAACAAGCTATATACAAAAAAATCTATATACAAAACACATAAAACTATGATAAAACACTTAAGACTATGTACAGTAGGAAAAATTATAATTATACTCTTTTGAAAAATAAATTAATAAAAAATACATTGAGTTCTTCTTTAAAATGAAGTGTGTTTCTGCTAACAAAGAAAAGAGAAAGCTGACAATATAAAATATCAGTGTCTTTAAATAATGATTAATATGTAGACTCATCATTGTCAAATGCTAGAGGTACAGATTTAATTATATACCAATAAAAAATAATAATAAAAATAAAAGTAAAAAACAAAAAATAGATGCGGTCAGTGGCGTAGTGAAGTTCACAATATAGAATAGCATTATCGTTTGATGATGACTAGAAATGTATAATATCGAATGTTTAGCAAGTATCAGACTGTTTTTGGGATAGGAATTGGAATAGGAGGGATTTGAATGTGGATATGGAGGGGGAATGCCGAATTTTGATAGGTAGAGTTACCGGAACCATAGGTGTCGGTACCGGGGGGGACAAGACACATTCTGCTCCTCTCCCCTCCCCCAATAATTTATCAAGTGAACCAATACTTCGCAACCATTCACTTGAAAATAACTCTTAAATAGTTCAATAAACCATAAAGTTAATAATTATATAATATTAGAAGTAATGAAATAAGTACCAGAGCCAATGAATGGAATTAAATAAAATAGTGATAGTGCTTACGTAAGTTCTTAATTTTAATTATTTACTTCATTAAAAAATGTTTAACGTTGTAAAAAAAAATTAAGTTAAGCTAATTTTCTTCCTCACTTAATTCAATTCAATATTGAGTATTTTGGGATATGCAGTCTATGCAATACATAGAATGAAATATAACGATACGCCTGGTAAAAAAAAAACGAATAATATTCTTTACTCAAAAAAACATTTTTTTCGCACATTACTTTATTAATTTTTTTTTTCTTACCCTCTATTATTTATTTATAGCCAGTTGAAAATATATACATCTCTAACAATAATATATATATATACTTTGGGCTGCATCACTTTTACTGCACGAAGGCATTCTAAGGATGGGAAAAGGGTTTGTTGAATACAAGAGTTTACTGTAGCACTAGGCCTTTTTATTTTGGACTAGGCAAGGAGGGATTGCCCCGCTAGTCATTAATAAATATCTTTAATCTCTAGATTTTTTTATTAAATTATTTTTTATTATATAAATTAATTTAATAATGCAATCTCTTATATCGGTATATATTCTCGGGAACATATTAAAGTACAGTGGTAAATTATAGTATAATATCCATCTTCAATATTTTCTGTATTAGTTTTCATACGTTCATTATTTTTTTTTTATCAATTTATTCATTAAAATATTGCATTATTTCATTTCAAAAGTACTACTTGAACAATAATTTTTAATATATTTAGGGATATAATTCAGTTAATTATTCTTGTAATAATTAAGATGAAATAATGAATTTTACTGCGGATGTTATTTGGAAATGGGAGACCCATTGGAGATTTGAATTTCCCGAATCGGTGGGTAATGAAATAGGACCATAACGAAAAAACATTCGATTTTTCTCTCTCTCTCCCTCTCCCTCCCTCTGTTCTCTATGTAATTACATGTTAATTATCCACGAAGGGTGATATTATCCCCTAATTGCTGTTAGCAAACGAACCGTCTCGCTTAAATGTGATGTCGCTTGATGAGCGGTTGTAAATTCCTAGTAATTCCAGAAATAATAAGCTCTTACATGACAGAAAAACCTCTTCTTTTCTGAGCATTAGCTAATCATAAGTAGTTTCTTTCTTTAGGCCGACTGAATCATTCCTTATATGTGTGTTTTTATTTTTTCTTGTATTTTCTTTTTACGCACGCTCCATATTTATAACTTATAAAATAACCATTAAACAACTTTTATTTATTTATTGGAGATTAAAAATCTTTTATAAATAGAGGCAAAGAAATATAATTATTAATTATCTGGTGTGAATTCAAACTAAAAGCTTGTCTGACTAAATATAACAGATAGATAATACGTTGCAATTAATTATACTATTCTCTGTTCAGCCTCCACAGCGGCTAAGCGGCATCATTAAGCGGCTAAGAGAGAGAGAGCCACTGGGATCTCTTGGAGTCCTGCTATTCCTTCTACGTGTGGGGGGAAAGATTTAGCTTGGAATTCTTTTTAATGAATGATTGTTTGTAAATATTGTATATAAGTATGCCGGTGTTTAAGTTGTTATTTTGCTAATGACGCGGTTGAGAGAGTAGCACAGCGATCTCCTGAAGTGCTTAAATAATTGGAGCGACAAACTTGGTTTGAAGTCTCCTTGCCTGATTGTAAATATTGTATATAGGTATGTCTGTGTTTTTTGTTTTTTAATTTACTTTATTTTTATTCATTGTATATATATATATATATATATATATATATATATATATATATATATATATATATATATATATACACATGTGTTCTATCTTCACTATAATTATCATTCCTGTGACAGAATATTATGTTACTGAATAAATAAAAAAAATATGGTGAAATTCATACTCAACCTTTTGAAAGGTAATTAAGTTCTCTACAGAACATAATTCATCAGAATTAAACCAGTATTAGCAATGATACAGCGCATTAATTTTCTACACGTTTTATTACCTTCCTATCGCTGCTAAGTTAGAAAAATATTAAATCGGGTCATATTTATTTTTTTATTTTTTTATTTAGAATTTATTAATTTTTAGAACTATATATATATTTTAATATATTGATATATTGATTTAAAATGCCATAAAATCTAGATTTTTTTTTAAACCTATAGAATCAGTATAAAAACGATTTTAGTTATTTGTAATAAGGTAAGGTTTATAAATTGTTCAGTTGGGATTTTCCTGATTTCTAAATATAGTCAATTTATTTATTCTTTTTTTTTTTTCTGTAAGGTATTAACTGATAATACGTATGTTATATGTGATTATTATAAAAATACTTTTTCTTAAATATATCTATGTATGTAAAAAAAAAAAAAATATATATATATATATATATAATATAATAAACTCATCATGCAGCAATTAATTGCTAAGTGGTTGAAAAAGGTCATGAGAGGAGGATACCTTAACTTCATAAACCGATTTATGGGAAATAAATTAGAATACAAAAGCCAACAATTTTACTAAACACAAATAACCATTATTGTTGATTGGCTCTAAAATGAAAACAATTTACATCAACCATGATTTATATTTTTATGTTCTGTAATTTAAGTAACTCTAATGACAATAAAATTCTTTCTGCAATGCAATTATTCTCTGAGCAATAAATAATTAATTTTATTGCTTTGCTTAATGAACACATGGCATCAACAAGTGGGATGATTTATACAGACGAAATCTAGTTGGCTCAAACAGTGGATCCGTGACGTCACGAATCCTCTCCTCGCTGATATCCTAATTGATATTCGAAACTACCTTGAGGAAATCCAGAGCA